CATGGAACTACAGCCCAGCCTAGAGTAGGCGCGCAGACCGAGGAGCAGTCAGGTCTTGTCAGTTAGAATATAAAACGAGGAAAGGAACAAAGCACCTTCCAAGTGTGAGTGAAATTACTTCCCACTTTACAAATGTGTCCCTCTTGTCCACAGCCTAATGTTTGAAGGCTGGATAGCTTGTGGTCTCAAATCAAAAAGGACAGAAGAAGGCTAACCACAGGACATATGTATAGTTTCAAACATTTGCAGATGGCTTTCTAGGAGCTGTGGAGAATTTACTGAAAAATCTTAGCAATCCTTATCCTGCTCACATATTTCTTGGCACATACTCATACCTTTAAAAACAAGAAAAAGCCTGAAGTAAGCAATTAATACTGTAGAGTTATACTGTCAAAGGGAAGATACCTTTAAATCATTAACAGGAATCATTAGCCCTTCAAATAGAGATCAATATATAAAAAATTACTAAATCTGCACAATGGAATGTCATCTGCTAAGTAATTTGACTCCCTTAACACTATCAGATAGACAAATGGGTGTTAATCTCATCCCTGAAGGTATTTAGGAAACACAGGGCTTCCTCTTCACACTAGTGAGCTCAGGTTTTTACCTATCGAGAAAAGTCTTAGGCCTTGTCCCATAGGTATGCATTTTCACAGATCAAAGACTACTTCTCATGAGCATTTCCAGGTGGAATTCTTAGGTGATCTTCATGCATGAAAACCAGCTGGATTCTCTGATCTAACCATCAGCAGAGGAATTGTTAAGGACAGAGCCACCCCTCAACTTCATTGACCTGAACCACTGCAGGATGGTGGAGAGAGCCCGGGGGGGGGGGGGGGGGGGGGGGGGCGGGGCTCCTTCCTGGAAATTTGGAACAAAGATCAGGAGAGATTCTGAGTCACTTCCATGACTAGAACTGTAGCCTGTTAACTCCAAAGCTGTTCGCTGCCCTGTTTCCTACTGTGAGGAGCAGAGGAAGGAAGCTGGTCTGCAGAGACAGAGGGAGGCCAACTACAGGGGAGAGAGGGGTGGGGGAGTAAGGCAGGTGTCTCAGTCAGCTCCTGAAGACCCTGCGGTCTAAGAGACTCTCCTGAACACTTATAATACCTCTCTGCTTGTAAGCTGGCTCAAACCAATTTCTGTTACTTGCAAGTTTTCGAGAACACACCTCACAGTGACCCAGGAAGTTAATTTCCTTATCCTGCAATTCCCTCATCTGTTCCATGAGAATCATCATTCATTCATTCAGCAAATACTCATTGAATACTTTCTCTGTGCTAGGCAGTTTTAGGTTCTGGGAGACATAGCTATTTAAAAAATTTCTTCCTTTATGAGACTTCTCTTCTACTAAAAAGGTCTCTGGAAATAAAGTAGACATATGAGAGAAGAGGTAACTTCAAATCAGGTACCAACTAAAGGGCTGGTTGACCCAAAAAGTAGAGCATAAGCTCCAAGTCTTAGAAGATGTATTGGAGGGTCAGAGCCACTTAAAACAGTACACAGTCCTTTTGACTTTAAAATAACATTGGGTTAAAAAGCTGGCCTTTCTACGGTGTCTTTTGTCTTACATCTCGGTGCAAGTGCTGAGAGCCCCTTCTGATGCTTTGCTGGTAGGCGCCACTCAGGCAAACTCTCCTGATACTGCCGCTTCCTATCCACGTGGACTGAGGGAGGCTTTCAGTCTATTGCTGGTTATCATGGGGGGCAACAGATAACACACATAAGTAACAAATTCAATCCACAGGTAATTTCAAAATCTAATTTTAGCCACCCCTCTCCCACTCAGTTATTTGTCAGTACTACTTAGGAAGCCTGAATTGACTGATCTGGTTCTATTTTCTGTTGCTGCCTCTAGAAGACTGCAAATAAACCAAGTGGAAACTAAAAGGCAGGCAGCAGGAAGGAGAAAGCAAAGAATATGGATAACCCACACCCAAATTCTTATGCAATCTAGAAAATTAACTGTGAGGATTTGGTCTTTCATATTGTCTGACCCTCCTATGTGGGCTAAAATCTTCTTACTTTGGGAAAATTACCCATAGTGCTCATGTAAAATCAGGAATGAAAGCACCCTTTACCTCCTTTATTTATTGTATTAGTAGAAATACAATGCAGAGGTTCTTATATAATAAAGGGCCAACCATAATACTTCAAACTCACAGCTCAGGTGGCCCTTTTCAGCTCCCCAGAATGCCTCTAGAGATATGAACTTTGTCATCACTAGCCAACCAGAGAGCAGGGATTTCCAATGAAGACAGACAATTCATGTTCTGCAGCATCTCAGTCAGAAGTGGTGAGTTATTTTATATTTTTTACATACTGCATACCTCAAGTACCTCTCCATTTCCCCATCAAAGCTAATGAAAAACATTCGTTCCTGTGTGCATGGGTGTGTGTGTGTGTGCACACGCACTTACACCCCCTTGACGTGCACGTGCACACGCACGCAGAGGGTCTCCCAAAATACACATAACCAGTTCGGTGGAGGCTGGCAATACATCAGAGCCTGTTTGAAAAGAGAAATAACTATTTCCCCCCACCCTTTCAGGATGGTTGTGGCTCTCTGCCCAAGAAATAGGCTTATTTGATATGCTATTGCTGCCATAAGAGCTACATCTTGTGGAGCAAGAGCCATTAAAGATGTGTTGCTAGTTCTTGGAACTCCAGGGCATGACAAAGCTTAAATAAGAACGTAATGATGTAAGCCCTGGCTGAGTAGCTCAGCTGATTACAGCATTGTCCCAGTACACCAAGGTTGCAGGTTTGACCCCCATCAGGGCACATACAAGGAATAATCAATAAATGAAAAACAAACCAACAATAAATTGCTTTCTCTCTCTCCCCCTCCCTCCCTCTCTCTCTCTCTAAAAAATAATAAAAATGATTTAAGATAGGAAGCAGGGCAGAATTTCAGAAGCAATAACCAACTCAGGGTTTTAACAGAAGTAGCAAGTTTTGTTTTCACATCAAAGAATGAAAAGTGGTTGACCACTGAGTTCTGCAAATCAGGGTTTCCAATGCAAGTTCTTGAGACTTTCATTAAAACACCTTTGTGAAGAGGCCTGCCCTGGTCTTAACTCTGGCTGTGACTGCCTTCCTACCCTCTCATCTCCTCTTAAATGGAGACAGTCAGGCATATCTTTCTCCTAACTTTATCTTGAAGACAAGGTGAATACACACAAACAGCTAAGCAAATATTTCCTTACTATAGTCATAATGGATCTGCGGGCTTATGCATGACAGGATGCATACCTAGGTCAGGTATGCATACCAGTCCCAGGAAGAGGATGGAGGTGGAACATCCCCAGGCAAGTCAGTTCTGCTCTGTGGCAGACGCCCTTGCCCTTCTCATCAGAAAGGCTCCCCAGAGTGGCCAGAACTGCTTGGTCCAGGCATTACATCCAATGCAATGATCTTTCCATTAGACAACATGTTAACAATAATCCATGTCAGGTATGGGGATCCTGCACAGGACGGTCCAGAACCCTGGGCTGGCCTGCAGGACCTGCCTCCTTGCAGATCTTGGGCTGGCTCTAATGATAGGAAGTCCAGTGCAGTTTCTGGACTACCAGCATGTTGTCTCAGGTCCTCGTGAAAGGTACGAACAATAGTCCCTGCTCCAACCCAAACCAACTGAACAAGAATTTCTGGTGTTGGAGGCCTCTGCATTTTTATAACACCCTAAGGTTTGGGAACTACTCAAGGCATGGAGTTCCTTACCTGTGGAGAGCTGACTGCCACATTCTCTCCCCGCTCGAACCTTTGATGGCCCTGTGCAGAGCTAATATTTTTAGGTTGGTCTCCATATTCTGCAGCCACGTGCCTACAGCATTACAGGTCACTTTACAGACAGCTGCCAATTCACCAGGATTTAACAAGTATGTGACAGCAAGTATAACTTCATCCCAACCCACACTGAAAATTGTTTCCTAACCCTGGTTATCAGTGGATGCAACAGTCACACTGGTGTTTGAACATATGACTTGCTCCCTACACCAGAAAGACACATTCAATATTCACCCCATCCCTTGCCATGGCTCTGCTGGAAGACCTCAACATAATAGGGATGGCCCATCTCCCTTCATGAACACAGAAGTTACTTTTTAGGATTGTGGACAAGTCACTCTCAACTAATTTCCTATAGTTTGTAAGGACAAATTGCATTTCAGCTCTTAAACACTTTGAGCACCTGATACAAGGTAACTCTCTACTCTCCTCCTCTCCTCGCCTCTTCAAGTAATGCGGCAAAGAGCAGTAACACCAGCCAGTGTTTCAGAACCTGCATTATCACTGCTGGTCCATGTGGCCGATACTTTATTTGGTTAAATGCTAACTAATGAAGCCACGGACATGGTTTTGATCTTTTGCAGTCCAGCTGACTTCAAGCACCTTCTTTCGTGAACCACCCATCTTGACAATGTTAACCAAAAGAGTCTGAGTAACAATGTGAAGACCAGTTACTGGTTTTTGTGGGGTTTTTTTTTTGGTTTTTAGGAGTGTTTTCTTTTTAAAAAAATATATTTTATTGATTATGCCATTACAGTTGTTCTATTTCCCCCCTTCATTCCCCTCCACCCTGCACACCCCTCCCCCACCATCCCCCCTTTAGTTTATGTCCATGTGTCTCAAGTTCTTTAGATTCTATATTTCCCATACTATTCTTGCCCTTCCCCTATTTTCTACCTACCATCTATGCTACTTATTTTCTGTACCTTCTCCCCCCTTCTCCTTCTCCAACTCCCCTGTTGCTAACCCTCCATGTGATCTTCATTTCTATGGTTCTGCTCCTGATCTAGCTGTCCTCTTAGTTTGCTTTTGTTTTAGGTGTGGTTCTTAATAACCATGAGTTTGCTGTCCTTTCACTGTTCCTGTTTTTTATCTTCTTTTTCTTAGATAAGTCCCTTTAACATTTCATATAATAAGGGCTTGGTGATGATGAACTCCTTGAATTTGATCTTATCTGAGAAGCACTTGATCTGCCCTTCCATTCTAAATGAAAGCTTTGCTGGATAGAGCAATCTTGGATGTAGGTCTTTGGATTTCATGACTTGGAATACCTCTTTCCAGCCCCTTCTTGCCTGTAAGGTCTCTTTTGAGAAATCAGCTGACAGTCTGATGGGAACTCCTTCATAGGTGACTGTCCCCTTATCTCTTGCTGCTTCTAGGATTCTCTCCTTCATTTTAATCTTGGCTAATGTAATAATGATGTGCCTTGGTGTGTTCCTCCTTGGGTCGAACTTCTTTGGGACTCTCTGAGCTTCTTGGATTTCCTGGAAGTCTATTTCCTTTGCCAGATTGGGGAAGTTCTCCTTTATTATTTGTTCAAATAAGTTTTGCACTTGTGGCTGTTCCTCTTCCCCTTCTGGTACCCCTATAATTCGGATGTTGGAACGTTTAAAGATGTCCTGGAGGTTCCTAAGCCTCTCATTTTTTTTTGAATTCTTGTTTCTTCATTTTTTCTGATTGATTGTTTCTTTCTTCCTTCTGGTCCACTCCTTTGATTTGAGTCCCATTTTCCTTTCCATTACTATTGGTTCCCTGTGCATTTTGTTTCATTTCACTTAGTGTTGCCTTCATTTTTTCATCTTATTTGTAATTAAAAGCAACCAGTTCTGTGAGCATCCTGATCACCAGTGTTTTGAACTGTGCATCTGAAAGTTTGGCTATTTCTTCATCGCTTAGATTAATTGGCTCTGGGGCTCTGAGTTGTTCTCAAGTCATGTTTTGATCTGTTAGTGCCTGTTATGTATGAGGAGTGGAGCCTTAGTTGTTCACCAGGGCAGGGCCATCCAGGTCACTGGTTTGTGATGCTGTATGTGGGGGCGGGGTCAGAGAGGGACAATGGCTGTTCCCTCTGCTGCTTCCTGCCATTGGGGCCTGCGAGGTCCATCTCACTGCTAGCTCCTTCACCAGTTTATCTGAGTGTGAATGGGTGACCTCAATCAGCCTTCAGTGGGTCCACCCGCTTCTCCACACCTGGGATCCACCCACCGCTGCTGGCCCACCTGGGTGGAGTACCCGGGTGAGTCCAGTGGATCTTTCCTGGCCGACCCCGCTCTGCTGCTGGCTCTGCCCCTCTTACCGGTTTGGCTGAAGGGTTCATTGTTGTCAGACTTCCGTGTAGTTCAATTTTCTGTGGTTTGGCTGCATTTTTGTTGCTAAAACTTTGTTGTTTTTAAACTTGGTTGTGTGAGAAGGTGCAGTGCTTCCACCTACGCTGCCATCTTGGCGTCGTAAGTCCTCCAGTTACTGTTAAAATGACCCTACATCTGATAGTCTGATGTCAAGTCAGAAGGTTCCTCTTTAAATACTAAAGATACAAGTAGTATTTATGGCCATGGATAGACTCAGACACAATAATCTCTTTTGGATTATTTTGCAGAATTAGTTGTTCATTACAACTCAAATTAGTTCCATAATTCCATTATTTTCCCAGAAATAAACTTTTCTAGGACAAAACTGATCTTTATGTGGTTACTGGCTTACCTGAAGGCTGGTTACTCCAGTGGAGCCAGGCTCAATGTCTCTCCTAGTAACTGCTTCCTCCTTTTCTTGGAGATAACAGCTCCCTCCCTGGACCCCCAGGCTCTGCCTTACACTCTCTTACTGGCCCCTGCTACTGAAGTCCAAGCCTGGAGTTGGCCACATTCAGAAATCCTGCAAAGAGCATCCCGTCACCTGTGCTTTTCTGAGGATCCAGAAAACAAACCACAGTTAACTCAGTAGGCTGTAATTGGAGGAAGAAGGGAAAGGGTAGGTAACTGTGAGGCTTATACTTAAATCTCCAAATTCTTTTGTTTATAATAGTAATATTAATAGCTACCACTTAGTGAGTTTTTTATCTTTATCTGATATGTTTATTAATTTTATTTTATTTATTTTTAAAAGACTTTATTTATTTATATTTTTTAGAGAGGGGGAGGGAGGGAAAAAGAGGGGGAGAGAAACAGGAGTGGTTGCCTCTTGTGCACCCCCTGAACTGGGGATCTGGCTTGCAACCCAGGCATGTGCCCTGATTGGGAATCGAACTGGCAACCCTTTGGATCGCAGTCTGGCACTCAATCCACTGAGCCTCACCAGCCAGGGCTGTTTATTGATTTTAGAGAGAAAAGAAGGGAGGGAGAGAGCGAGCAAATCATCCATGTGAGAGAGAAACCTCAGTCTCTGATACATGCCCCAACCAAGAATCGAACCCCCATCCACATATGTGCCCTGACCAGGAATCAAACCCACAACCTTTGGTGTATGGGACAATACTCCATCCAACTGAGCTACTTGGCCAGAGCCATTTATTGAGTATTTAACTTTGTGTTGGCTGTTGGGGACAGCACTTAAATGCATTACCCTATTCAATTCTCTTAACATCCTCTGTTTCTGCCTCTGATTACCGAACTAGAGCTCTGAAATGTCCCAATTTCCTTACCCTTTTCCATATGTATACCATGTATCAGGGTTCTAAGGATTAGGTCAAAATAAGAGGAGACTCATAAAAGGTAATCAAGTGTCCAAATAAAGAAAGGGAGAAAAACTTCAGTGAAGGGTATTTAATGTCAGAGAGAAAATGTACATCTGGGGCAGAGATTAAGAGACCATGCCAAGCTGGCCGAGCCTGACCTAGGTATGCATCCTGTCATGCATGAGGCCTCCACTGATGGAGGAAGTGACAGCAGCAGCATCATAAGGTTCCCTTCCCTGGGTGGGAGCATAGTGCAACATTCATTCAGTCTAGTCACATGCCTAGCTTTCTGCAACTCAGGCACAAATACTCAGTTCATGTCTTTCCTAACATGTCAGGCCCAAGGCCCCCTTTCCTCCTGGTGCAGGGAACTTGTGGCAGGTGACAGTGAACTGTTGGAGGGACAGTAATTCTCCCTGGAAAGACAGGCCAGGGAAGTGTGGGTCCTTTTGGAGTCACAGGTCAAAGACAACACCAGGCTGCTCCCATGCCTGCAAGTATGCACACAAATAAAAAGGCAGGAAAGCACTGGTCCTTTCACAGAGCCCATCAATGTTCTGGGTGAAACCCTGGAGATTTCAAGGTTTAAGTTGAGTTCCTGCTGCCTTCCACAGGGCCTCTGGGCCCAAAGGCTGAAGTCAAGTCCAGTCATCTACCTAGCAAAGGCTCCAGACTTCCAGACAGAATCATCTTCCCACCTAACCACCACCTCTCTCCTCAAGGAATAATGGATAGACAGTGAATATACCCAAGTCCCTACATCCTGAGAGTCACCACTGGAGAAAGGGGAAGATGTCCCAGTGGCGACTCTCACCCACTGAGATCTGAGAACCCCTTTGTCCCACCCACTGAGATCTGAGAACCAGCAAAGTCCAAATCTCAAAGATCTTTAACGTCTCTTAAATAGGCTTTTCCTTTCCATTTTTTCCTTTTAATTATCACCCATCCATTCATTTATACAAATATAAAATATATTTACATATTTTTATATACTATAATCTTCTGTGAGGCAGAGTAGAGAGGAGGCCAGGAGCCTGGCCCCAGCTACTTGCAGACGTGCTGGTCGACGACCTCCATGCACTTCCTGCACTTGACAAAGCAGCACCAGTGGAACCTGCAGTGGCAGCGCTCCACCTGGACGCTCTTGAACTGGTCATAGCCACGGCCGCAGCACATGAGCTCACAGCCGTCCATGCCCTCCGAGGTCTTGTTGCAGAGGCGGCCCTGGGTGCCCAGGGAGCCCGTGGTCTCGTTGTGCAGGCAGTAGTCAGGGCTGGGGTCCACGTACACCAGGTCCTCCAGGGTGGGCTGGTTGAAGCGGCTGTTGACCAGCTCCAGCTTGCCTTTGCGGGTGATGCGCATGGCGGCAGCGCTGTCATACTTCTCCTTCAGCTGGTCTCCCACCTTGCGGAACTCTGCCAACTGGAGCCAGCAGGTCTTGAGGCTGCAGGACCCAGAGACGCCATGGCATTTGCAGGCTACATCTGCCATCTTATACACAGCCTGAGGGAGGAGAAAGAAGAACATAAGAAGGAGAGCCCTTGATGGAAGATGTCAAAATGGTGGATATAAGGGCCACAGGCAAGTACAGAACAGAGCTGACAGGGGAGGAGGAGGATTTTTTCAATTGTAACAACGATCTTTCCAGCTCACATTGACAGCAGTTAAGGGAGCCTTACAACTAAACATGTTGGCAAGGCATGCAGTAGTCTGACCCGCCACGAGGGTGGCATGAGGTGCTTGCATGTCCTACTTTCCCCATTTCTTATTACTTGAAATTTGTCACAATAAATTTCTATCTTGATCTTAAAAAAAACAACAAAACCCAACAAAATATGTCTAGCTTTCACACGATGTGGAACACCAGGAAGAAAACAGAATCCAGTAGATTCTGTTTATCCAGTCAATACAGGTAAGCCTGTAACAGAAATTGCTGGTAGGGCCCTGGTTAGCCAAAGCTGTCCCAGTCCTGACACATACCCTATGAATTTAAAAGTCATTTTAATTAAACAAGCAAACAAGAACATCGTATTATTTAAAGATTTTATTCATTTATTTTTAGAGAAAGGTTACAGAAAGGAGGGAGAAAGAGAGGAGAGGAACATCAATGTGTAGGTGCCTCTCATGCGCTCCTTACTGGAGACCCAGCCTGAAACCCAGGCCCGTTCCCTGACGGGAATCAAACTGGCTACTCTTTGGTTCATAGGCCAGCACTCAATTCACTAAGCCATGCCAGCCAGGGCTAAATAACTAAAAATTAAAAGAATAAAAATAATAAAGAATTCAGTGGTCATTAATGCCAGAGTCATCAGGAGCCTTACCATAGACCATATCACATCTGATACCCATGGGAGAGGGGGTGATGGTGGGGAGAAAGGAGCATGGCCCATGGAATGGAGCAGCAGGCTGGTGGGTCCATCTGTAGGGGTGATTCATCTGAAATCAAATCTACCCTGGAAGTCACTGAATCACAACAATGTGGAGTGGATTTGAAGTTGGGTTATCCCAGATCAAAATGTAAAAGCCAAAGTAGACCAGCTCTGGGTGGTGTGACTCAGTGGATTGAGTGCTGGCCTGCAAACTGAAAGATCGCCAGTTCAATTTCCAGTCAGGGCACATGCCTGGTCCCCAGTTGGGGGCACATAAGAGACAACCAATTGATGTATCTACCGCACATCAATGTTTCTATTCCCCTCCTTCTCCCTCTCTTCCCCTCAAAAAATAAATAAAATCTTAAAAAAAAAAAAGAGTAGACCAGAAGCTGTTTACAAAGTGCTTTCTAATGAAAGTATACTGAGGCATTGTGTCAAATACCCCTAGCTGCAGGCACAGGGTGCCAACAGCAGAATAAAAGTGTGAGCCCACCACAGAACAATTTCCTACACCACAGTTATAGCCACCACTGAGTAAGGACTCATCTCTCAAGGGCTTTTCTCAGATTTCTTCTCAAGATGGCCCAGATTGTGTCTTTATTCAGCACTATGCAGATATCACTGCAGGCACATAATCATATTACTGTTGTGAAAATTCTTCCTGATGGTTTTTTCTTTTTTTGACATGGAATTATTCCCACTATTTTATAATGGAAAAACTGAAGTTCTAGAGGGCCTCAGTAACCTGTTCTGGGCCACCCAGAAGGAACTGAGAATGTCTAGCTCCTCTGAACTCAGTCTTGGGGCTTAAAAACAGCTTAGGGGGAAGAAGGTTCCCAAGGTTAAAGGCTCCCACACTTGGCAGGCATCTCCAGGCCCAAGGCATAAAGGAACCAATACCCCATTCCAACGGGCACTTCAAAGGCAGCCTGCAACTACCCTTGTGGCATACATCCCCAGGTCCAAGCTGGAGCCTGACATTCCTCAGGAAATGGCCCTTGGTTTAGACAGGGATGTCAGGCGTCTGACGCTGCTTGAAGGAGGAAGCATTAGAGGCCTAAAACTGTCTACCTTGCTGCTGACTAAGGGAACAAGGTAAGTATCTCCACTGGGAGCAAACACTTAGGGAGATTTGGCTAAAAAGAGTGAAAGCAAGACCTCACAGAGCAAGGACAAAAATTTTTTTAAAGATTTTATTTAGTTTCTTTCAGAGAGAGGGAGGGAAACATCAATGTGTGAGAGATACATCCATTGGTTACCTCTCAGATGCCCCTAACTAGGGACCTGGCCCTGCAACACAGGCATGTACCCTGACTGGGAATCGAACTGGTCACCCATCAGTTTGCAGGCTGCTATTCAATCCATAGAGCCACACCAGCCAGGGCAGGAAAGAAATTTTAGTGAAACAAAATCCAAGAGAAAGAGTATCACTGATCCTATTTAGACATTCATTCCATCCTTCCTCTAGGAAGGGAGACACTGTAGAAACATAGAATTTAGATTTTAAAATATTTTTCTATTGATAATATATAGGTTCCTCCTATAGGAGAAGGGGGAGGGGGACACCCCAATTTTTTACCCTTTCTGATAACTGAAAAAGCAATACGATGTTTTTAAAAATGTTTTTAGTTCTACATCTGGTCCCAGGCGAACCTCTAAGTCCTCTTCAATTCTACCCGATGGTGTGATGGAGCTTGGTAACTGACAGGAATATCACATGGACTAGGCCACTTTTTCTTTTCCTTTTTTTTTTTTTTTTTAAGATTTTTACTTTTTACTTTTAGAGAGAGGAGAAGGGGAAAAGAAAGAAAGACAGAAACATCGATGTGAGAGTAACATTGATTGGTTGCCTCTAGCTTGTGCCCCAAATGGGGACTGAACCCACAACCCAGGCATGTGCCCTGACTGGGAATTGAACTGGTGACATTTCACTCTGTGGAACAATGCTCAACCAACTGACAGAGCAGATTAAGCAGCTTTTCACTGGAAAATGCTTGGGAGCCCTTGAGTGACCAGGCAATATCAACCTGTTGCTCTTGCCATTGAGATCTAAAATTGATTCACTAGAGACTCTTAAAGGCCAAGAGAAATTTCTTGTAAAGTACATTCAAGATTTACTCTGTGGTCAAGATGTCAAATCCTAGATATTCCATTAAAAAAATACCTGGTTATAAAATACGTGGTCAGGGACTTTCCCATTCCTGCCACCATTTAGTCTTTTCTGTGGAACTTTTTGTGTAGGTGTGAGGTGAATGCCTGTGGCCTCAGATAATGACTGATGGGTGAGGCCTGTTCCCTGGGAACAGTGTGAAAAACAGGGACAAGAATTCCCAACTCAGAGGATCCAAGATGGTGGTAGAGTAGGTGGGTGTACAGTCACCTTTTCCCAGGATCAAACTGGAATTACAATTAAAATATAGAGCAAGCAAACTGAATAACCAACTGAAGACTGGCTGAACAGAAGTCTTATAAACAAGGATTTACAGAAGAAGCCACAGTGAGTCTAGTAGGAAAGGAGGAGATAGGCAAAGGGCTGGCCCAACTCTTACAGGTGGCAGCTGAGATTCCAGGATATCTCAGCTGTGGGGGTTCCATCTGAGAAGTGTGCGGTCTCAGCCCCAAGCTGAGCTCTCTAGCCCAGAGACCAGAGCTAAAAAGAGTCACCCATGTAACATGTGGCTGTGAAAATCTGTCTGCAAGAAAGAGACAGGAGCTTAGTGGAAACACAGGTGCCTTCTTAAAGGGCCAACACACCAAATCTCATTTGTAGCCACTAACTCACCCTGGGCAATGGTAGAAGGAGTGTGGAGTAATCTAGGACCCTGTGAGGAGAGACAGGTTTGTGGCTTTGGAGTGAGAAGCTGAAGGGAAGCAGCCAGAATCCCTGTGCTGAGTTCCTCTCCCACACTGCAGACACTACCTTTCTTGTGTAGAGCTCTCCCCTTCCTGCAGCATGAGCTTGGAGGACAGCAATAGTTCCACTATCTGGACTCCCTCTCACTCCATCCTGTGCAGCTTGTACCCTGCTGAGGTGTCAATGGCCTGGGTGGGAAGGCAGAGGTCTCAGCAGACTCAGGGGGTATGAGTGAGTAAGTTGGGTGGCTTTGGAGCAGGGATCATTGCTACCACTTTCACACGAACCTGACTGGTGTCTCCCCCTCACAAAAAATCTGATTGCCCCACCCTCTGGGTTCTTGGTGGCCCAACTCTCCCAACTACTGCTGGTTCTACCCTGCGAAGATCTGAGCAGAATCTGAAACTGAGTTGTGTGGTTCTAGGGCAGAGGCCAATCCTGTTACATTTTCCCAAGCCTGACCAGCATCCCCCTCACCAGAGCTCTCCTAGACTTACCTTCCTAGTTCTTGGAAGCCATGACTTACCTTCCTAGTTCTTGGAAGCCATGCCCAGCTGAGATTGGGCTCCTGGCAGGATCTGGGAGGCTGAGGTTTGTGGTTCTAGGATGGGGACCATTTCCCCTTGTACACCCGACTGGTACAGAGCCCTCCCTCCACACAGCCAAATTTTGCTCTGTTTGAGCCTGATAAACTCTTCCGATCTCACCCTGAGGACTCCCTAAGACCCCAATCCACCACAAAGGTATGTGAGCACCTAGAAGGTGGCAGCTAAACTTGGTATACCTAGAGACATTTGCTGAGTGGCCTGAGACCCAGCATTGGCACCAAGTTTGAACCTGTATCAATCTGATGAACACATTTGCCCCTACCTAGTGACTCACTGGGAAACTACTTCATGCAATTTGAATAGCACCAAAGGCTTTTTTAGTGACTGAGCTGAGGAGGCAGCTGGCAGGCAGGGTCAGGTAGAAGTGGATCTCAGGGTGCCTTGGGACTTTTGCTGACCTTCCCCTGGGCCCAGTGCTGGTTAAAGCCAGATTTGGTGAGCAGCTTGATCCTTATTGCACACATGCAGGCCCAGCAGAGGCAGTGACAAACTGTGGATTACTGTGTACCTCCGAACAGGATGGCCAGGGACAGTCACCAGCAGCATCTGGTGCAGCACAGGACTGCACCAGAGTCCCTCCCAAGAGGTCCCGGAACCAATATACCCAGTGGCCAGCTTCAGACAATCTAAGAGCAGTATCCATTAAGCTTCACATGTGGCATATGCAAA